ATCAATATATTAACATATGTATACTACCAAATAAAGATATATTGATAATTAAGAATTAAGGCTGTATTTTACTTGTACTATTATGATAATAAAATAAAATAAAAAGACGAACTACATAGTATGATAGTTTATTTATTTATCAAACATGAAGTATCTAATATTGTACAGGGTATTTGATAAGTAACGATAAAACTCGCATTAGGGTAGAACGGACTAAACTGAGTCGAAAAGTCTCTACTATTTTACAATTTTCGTAATAGTTAACAAGATATTAATTACTAAAAATTGTCAAATATTGGTTTTGAATAATTTTTTACTCATGTATTACCAACTGTATAGAAAAATAAGAGACAAAAATTGTTTATTTTCTTTTCATAGAATTATAAAAATTTTTTCAGAATTTTTTATCACAACTTTTTAGTACTGCAATTTTTGAGAACTGCTTGAGAAGAAAATAAACAATTATTGTCACTATGCGAGAGTTTTATCATTGCTTATTAAACACCCTGTATAATATTGTGATATCATTGCATTAACTTTATATAAAAATATTCGAAATAAATAAACAATGCATTGATAATAAAATGATAGTGTAATTCAAAATTTTGCGTAACATCAAATGTTAAGTATACAGTAAAGTAATTTCGAATGTACAAGTATTAATATTTACGTTATTTTACTAACAACATCGCCTCGATGATGAAATCACGTGAGTCAATATTCCCTGGTCAATATTGAGTAATAATATTTATATGTGCATTACATGAAATAAATTCCTAAAGGAAATGAAAATACCATTTTTGTTTCATTCCAATTCGTATCCTCGTAAGCTCAGACACTTGAACCTCGGAATACATTCATCCTTTTCAAGTAATGTATGTATCTGAATTTATCTGGATATATTTACCTATCTAATTCACTAAAAACAATCAAAGCTTTGTTGAGCTAAAGATATATATTCCTACGGTGTACAAGTCTTTCTATTGTACATTGTTTATTATCAACATTATTGTCTAATTATACGTATCTGCGTAAAAAAAAGAGCCACCAACATTGCAGTATTTTCAAATTACATGATAATTTATTTTCCAGTTTACATGCATCATCTTCCTATAAAAATGTTTGAAAGAATAAACAGTGCATTAATAATGAAATGATAGCGTAATTCAAAATTTACACGTAAATACTTTAAATGCGTTAAATTCTTAAATGTGACAATGTCAACTGTAACCGAACGTTTATTTGCAGAACACAAGCATATTCTCATAAATGTTGTAATATTAGACATTTGAACGAACAATTCTTGCCTCGGAATACATTCATCCTAAACTTTTAAATAATACTTAGTCATTTATGTCTCGTTTAATTTTCTAAAAGAGAATCAAAGCGCTGTTGACATAAAGACATTAAATATTCATACATTATGTACGAGATCTGTGTTTCTACTTTGTTCATTTCATTGCCAACAGTGTTACAGACTAAAGTACCCATCTTTGTTGAAAGATGGAGACTGACATGACTTGTCGTTTTTTTCAAGTGTTTTACATATGTACATACATTAAATATGTTAAATCCCCGAAACATAAAAATATCATTTTGTAGCTTAACGTTTTTTTTCCAGGACATTGTCACATTTTGAAAATTTCAAGCATTTAATGTACAAACATTTGGAAAAGCGTTCCAAGCCATGTCATCTCCCATCTTTTTACAAAAATGTATATTACAGTACCTAGCAATGTTGAAAATAAATATAGGAAACTCATAGGTAAACATAACCTATGTATAATAGCTTAAGGTTAATGGCCTGTTGATTGCCTTTAGAGAATTATAGACAAGGTATCCAGATAGAAAATCAGATATAACTTGAAAATTTAGGATGATAGCATTCTGAGACGAATTGTTCATTCAAGTATCTAATATTTACGAGAACATGTCTGTGTCCTGGAAACGAACATTAGACCGCAAAGTGATATCTTCACTTCTTCCAAGAATTTATTGCATTTTAAGTAGATGCAAATATTTCGAAATGCGGTCAGGGATTGCCACATACGTCGTATCACGAAAGTATGTAATTTAATCATATTGACAATAAATAACGTTATGGACGTACCTTATGTATGTATAAGGAATGTATGTCTTTAAATAAAAGCTTTGAATGCTTTGATGTGACAGGATATCAAGATATAAAATCAGAACTTACTTCCAAGTGACATAATATAAATATATTTTGAGGCGAGTTGTTTAATGAAGAGTTTAATATTGCGTTTACTAGAAAAACCTTTATGTCCTATAGAACGGCCATACATCGATATTATCTCACTTCAAAAATTTAACATATTTGAAGTAATGTTAGCACTTAAAAAAAGCGGTAATATCAACTCTATTCTTTTCGCATAGATGTGTAGTTTAGTAATAATATTGACAATCAATGTAAAAAAATTCATTCATGTAATAGTATATAATATCTTCAGTACGATAACTCTTTGATTGCTTTTAGAGAATTAGACAGGGTATCCAGATAGAATATCAGGGGTGCGTTCGGAAACCTATTCCCCAGGGTAGGGTTCGCCCAAACCCGTTCATAAACGTCATTTTTTCCTCATTCCCCGTTCCCAACAGCGTTCGAAAACATACGGGAAAAATTCCCAGAGTGTTCCCTGCGTACCTCACTCGAGAGTGTGGGAAAGATTATCCGTCTTGCGCAGTGCATCAAATCACACACACACAAGTGCGGTATATTTTTTAATTTAAGCGCGTATTCATGTATACACAATAAATAAAATAATAAAAATCAATAAATTATCACACTGCGTTGTGGAAAGTGTGGAGAAAACACCGATTTTTGACGCAAAAAAAGAAAAAGTTCTTCTACAAGACAAAACAAGTAAATGCAATTATTTAAATTGTTTAATCCATTTTATTAACGCATGTATTCTTATTTACAAGTTAGTTATTTTGACATAATTTATAGTTTGTAGCAAGTTTTAGTCTGTTTATTTACGATTAACTTTTCTGGAATATACATGTAAATATGTATGCAAATGAAGATGTTTATGTATTGAGGTTTTATTTATTGAGGTTATGTCATGTCACCGCTGCCAGCTTTTGTGCATGAATAGCTAGCTTAATTTAATATATGCGTCAAAGTGTCAAGACAATAATTTTCTATACATTTTACGATTACACTGTACATTTTTCAGATGAAAACATTATGTATGTTAGCATCAATGATGCTATAATTAAAACATTTCTGTTAGATTATGGCTATGGAGTTTCTAATAAGAGCAACATAAGCAAATCTACAGAAAATTCAAATGTAGGTTCATGTTACAACATTTTACAACCATCTAATGAAATTGCAACACAAAAAGAAACCGAGGAAGATTGCAATCCTAAACATTTTGATGACATGTTAAATCCAAGTGGCACATCATGTAAAGCTATATGGACCCATAAAAGCACATTATTATTCATAGATTTATATAATAAGTATGAAACACAATTTACATCCACAATGATAAAAGCTGAAGCAGTGTGGAAAAAAATAGCTGCTGAAATGAAAACTGCTGGCTACGAATTTTCATCTGGCCAGTGTAAAGATAAAATGAAATACATGAAGCGCTGTTATTTAAAAAAAATAGACCACATGCGATCTAAGAGCACTGGTTCAGCTCCAATAAAATGCGAATATTTTGATGAATTGGACAATTTATTTGGTAAAAAACCAAACATTAAACCAGTCTCTGTTTGCAGCACATCAAAAGTCAAATGTCAAAGTATGTACGCCTTTATTTTATAAATATTATGACTTCAGTGGACAAATTTATCTGTAAATTTCCTGTAAAATATAACTTTTTGGCAGAGAAATTGCAGAGTTTTACAATATATATATATATTGTATATATATGTATACAATTGTAAATATAAATATACAAGTTATTTATTTAATGCTATTAATTATCTTTGCAGTAAAAACAGACGAAACAATTGAGATAGAAGAAGATGTGGAAAATATTGACGTTAAAGAAGAAAAAACTTTAGGAAAAAAAACACGGAAAAGGAAGAGTACAAGTGATGATTTACTAGCTAAGTTGAATAGTAGAGAAGAGGCGAAAGAGCGCAGACATCTTGAGAAACAAGCAATTCAACGTGAAAGTATAACTGTTTTCAAGAATGTCATGAACGAGTTACTGAAAAAACTCTGAGTCCAAGAAATACCTTAACTTAGAAATCTACAACATATTGATTAGAAGATCCAAATGTTATATTATGTTTTAAATATTTTCCACTAGTTGAACCTGTGATATTCTTCGCTACTAACCGTGATTTATGTATTACCTTCTTTTGTCCGATGGCTTCAGGACAAGCAATATATATTTAAAATATCTGTAAGGTTAGTACATAAAGTACAAATTAATTAAATAGAAAAAGAAGTTATTTTTTGCAAAAGTTTATCACAGACTATTGACTAGTAAAAGGTCAAGGATTTAATGTTATATTTTTTTTATTTACACTCTAAGTATATTATTTGTTTTCATAATCTAAAAGTTTATAAATTTCTTTATGTTTAATTTAACATTCTATGTTTAATATAACATTATATGTTTAAATACTACAATCTATCAAAACCGATCTATCAAAAATTACTTGACCGTTTTATAGTACAAATATTAATGAAATTTTTAATATAGTATATAAGTCAACAAAATTTTTAAATATTTTTTGTAGTAGTGTACAATTTGTGTATTTATTTCTTGAACAAATATCGAGTTTGTTTTAATAAAACAATGATACAATTTTTTCATGTTTTATGAAATTTTATTGAACACTGCCCAACTCAGCATATATATATATATCTGTGTATATATATAATATTACTCAATGTTTCGATACAATTCTCTACATAGAGCATCGCGTCGACTGTTAGCAATTTCTCTATCTTTCATTCCTCCAATTTCTTCTCTTTCATTTTGTATATTATTCATTCCTTCATTTATATATTCATTCAATAAATCATCACCACTATCTATACATATATTATGCAATATACAGCAAGCTATAACTGTTGCAGGTATCATATCAACTCTGTTCATGTCAAGATACTTTAGTCGTCGGAATCTTCCAAACAATAAAGCAAATGCTCTTTCAATTATTTGTCTAGTTTTCGACACTAACTCATTAAAATGACGTTGCGCTCTCGTTAAATTTCCTCGATCAATATATGGAGGAATACACCAATTTAAAACCGGATAAGCTTTATCTGCTAAAATAAATTCATTCCCGGAAAAAGATTTATTAACATTTTCACAGATTAAGTGATATATATCAGAATTTCTAAAAATTCTAGCGTCATGAACAGAGCCGGGATAACCTACAAAGCAATCAACAAATTTCATATCAGAATCACACATTGCTTTTAATGTTATGGCATATTGACATTTACGCGTAATATAAACGTCTGGATTTTCCGAGGGTGCTTTTATTGGCACATACGTTCCATCAACTGCTGCAACAACACCATCAATACCAGCCATTGCTTTAAATTTTTCTTTTATTCTTACAAGTTCTTCTTGCCTTGGCCAACAAATAACTTTAGAGGATACACTATTTAAAGTATCAATTACACGCTCAAAGCAAGCGAACAAGGTGGATTTGCTAATATCAAATCTTTCTGCAACAGACCTGTCCACAGAAATACAGAACAATACTTATGAATTGTTCAAATTACAACTGTTATAATAATATAAAAACACAATCATAGTAGTATACAAAAGTTGGTGGAAAGTTCGGACAACTAGGAAGTTTCCCGAAATTGTAGAAACAATTTACGATTATAGATTTATTATAACTTGTTTTATTAGAATAATACAAATAATTTTTTTATAATTTTTTCAGATTCCTATTCGAATAATTTAAATATAAAGCAGATAAGAAATATTTGTATTATTTTCTCAATCGTTATAATGTTTGTACAAAGTAAATAGATAAATATTTATATGTATATATTTTACACGTTCAAATACATACCGATAAGAATCAGGAGTTGCTAACAGCCAAATCACTGAAAGCAATTGCTTCTCTACTGGCGTTGTTGGCCTACCAGTGTCAAAATTATTTTCCAAGTTTGGACCAAGAATTGTCAATAAAACTTCAAATGCGGTACGTGTAATCCGAAAGTGAGATTGGAATTCATGATTTGTATAATTTGATACAACTCTCTCAATATATCCCTCAATACGCTGTATCTTCTTTTTAGTGAACTTCTATAATAAACAAATATTATAATATAAAACATTCTGCACAAACTAATAATAATACACGTAACCTTAAACTGCAATAACTAACCTTTAATAATTCTTCAATTTCACTATCTGATGAAGACGTTTCCGAATATTCACAATCTTTTATCATTTGTGTCCCCATAGCTATTGCAGTAGCAATAATTATATTTTTTTGGGAATTTTCTGCCATTTTTTTCCCTCGGTCTTTACCCCAACCGTTCGGCAGGTTTTCATTTCTCATCGACTGTCATATTTACCCAGGTGGTCACGTGACGTTTCCTGGACAAGTTAATCCCTACCCTGGGGAATAGGTTTCTGAACGCACCCCAGAAGTTACTTCAAAAGGATTAATGTATTCCGAGGCCAGTCGTTCAAGTGTTTCGTATTGCATTATTTACATGGATATGTGGAATTCCTCTCGTGTACGAGTTCCGATTTTATAAATTGATTATTTTCAATGTTATTATTAAACACTACACACATGTAAAAAAACAAAATTGATATTGTTGCTTTTCCAAGTGATTATATGTATTTTAAAGGCGTTAAATTTTTGAAATGTGATAATATCAATGTGTGGCCTAACGTTCGTTTCCGAGACACAAACGTATTCTCATGCATGGTCGGAATCAGATTATGCATTGAAAATTGAGATTGAAGATTGAAAGATTGAAATATGACCAATCAGAATAAATCAAAATTTTTTGTTCTCATTGGAGAAATTTCAATCTTTAATCTTTAATCTCAATCTTCAATGCATAGTTTGATTCCGGCCAATGACACTTGAATGAACAATTGGTTTCGAAACGCTTTCATCCTAAAATACTTTTAAGTTATTTCTGATTTTCTATTTGGACGTTTCGTCTAACTCTCCAAAAAAGTATCAAAGTGCTGTTAGCCTTAAGATATACATTTATAGGTTATATATAAATTCCGTTTTTCTACATTTATGATCAACATTGTTAGATACTGAATTACATGTCTTTGCGAAAAGACGGAAATTGACCTAAGCGCTTTTTCAAATATTATATGTGGTATATATAAATGAAATGTTTAATA